GATTGTGAAAAGCTCTCAAGTCACTGTGTGCACCAGAAAAGCCACCTGACTTACATGTTCTTTTGCAGGATCTTAGGGCACAAGTGAGAGGACTTCAGATTTATTCCGGTTGCACCATAACCTAGAAAAAGAGTCTTTTAAAATCTAATTAAATGAATAATTATGGCTATTTTTAAGCTCAATATTCCTTTGTGGCTTTTGTTAAGTTAGAGAGAAGACTGTTCAGCAGTCTCTGTGTGACTAGTCATTAGGGTTCTTTTTTCTGGCATGATTTCTAACTCAAATTGAGAGAAAATTACCTAACATTCCTCAGAGACCAATTGCTTCCAACCAGACTACTTATTAAATAATTTCAGTTCACACTTACAGTTGTTACAGGCACCGCCGTCATTACTTTACTGAGAACAAGCGCATTTCCATTTCTACAAAGCATTAAATTCTGTAAATTATTTCTAATTCTATAAAGTTTGATAATAGTTCTTCGAAAGTGACCATAGTCTCCTCCCTGACTTCCACTGATGAGCAGTGAATACTTTCACTCAGTTTGACCTTGGTATCCCAGAGGGATCTTAATGATATGTAATATGTTTAAGTCATTATAGACATTTCCACAGTTTCCATTTCCTCTGACTTTCTCACATCTTGCCAAGTATTTCCAGCTGCCTTCTAAGCACAAACTTGACCCTGGTTTTGAAAAGTAAAATAATCTGGATGGTAACTTAGACATTTGTGAACCTGTTTGACTAAGGCATGAATATTCACCATATCAAATATATTAATCACCAATACTATTGATTATATTACATTCTGAAGAAATAAAATTACCTTAGTGTCTATTGAGTTGAAGCAGTCATTGTTATTTCGTATGGTTTGCTAACATATGTTGTCAAAAATTTAGGCACTCAAAATGAAATTCCTAAACTCACAAAGGAAAACATTCATCTATCACATTTAAATGATTTCATGTCCATACTAGAAAATCGTTAGTACTAAAATAATTTCCAGGGAGAGACTGTCTTAACACAGCCCAGCAAATACATACTTGTGTCTTAAGGCCTAAAGTCCTGGTTAGGGACTATATCTTAGTGCTTTTTCTAGGAGGAGAAATTAGTGAAACTGTCTGCATGACTGAGTGAACTACCATTTATCATGTACATTGGTCAGCTTTTCTGTTGCTAGGACAAAAAAAGAAAAAAACAAAAACCTGACACTTGTAATGTAAAGGAAGAGAGGTATAGCTTGGCTCATGATTTGAAAGGTTTCAGTCCGTGGTATGCTGGCTCCAAGTCAGTAGCTTCATGGAAGCAGAACATGGAATAAGAAAGCTGCTCAGCTCAGGGCTTCAGGGATGCAGAGGGGAGAGGGCAAACTGGAAAGGAAGAAGTCAGGGACTAGATATATTTCCTAGGATCACCCTCCCATAAGCCACTACTAACAGACACCACTCTCTAAAAGCCCATTCAGCTCTGAGTTCATTGACAGGTTACCCTATTGATGAATTTAGGCCCCTAATCAATAATCTTCTCGGGAGTCACATTATCCAGTAAAACTGATGATGAAGATTACCTGGCACATCATGTCAATAAAAGGGAAGCCGAATTACACACACACACAGAGGAAAAAATATATTATGAAGCTGGAACCTATAATATAATATAAACAAGGATATAATTAGACATTCATTCAGAGATTTGTGCATTTTCTTTAGATCAAAAGTCAAACAAACTTAACAACAAGCAAAATAACAAAAAATGGATTTTTAATACTGATAGGACATTTTATATTAAACATGATACTATTCCTCAATACTTTATTTTTTCTCTTTTATTTGTCCACTGTCATTTTGTGCTCTATTTCTGCCTGTATGTTTTAGGCCTATTGCAAGTGGCAATATCCCTGCCAAGAATTTTTTTCTTCTCTGGTTTGTGGCAGTAAACACTACATAATGACTCATTTATCTGTCTGTACCACTTGTGACTTATACTGTAGGTACAGATAGATGTCAATATAGGCATACACCTAGACATATGCACACAAACAAAACAAACACATACATAGTTTTAGACTAAAATATTTTGTTTAGAGCCTATAGTTTTCATGGAAGATTCGCAGGAATAAGATATGAGTCTTATTCCTTTTGAATTGACAGAGACCCTAGAGATATTAAATAAACATTTTACTACTTATTACAGTTTTTTAATTTGTTTTGTTTTGAGGGAGGAGGGTTGCTCTAGGTACATCTTGTTCTTCTGTAGTATCTCATTCAGGGAGTTAGAAATTTATGTATAAAGGTATAATGTATAAAAATCGAATCCTATAAAAAATACAAAGAAGAAAAAGGGAAAGAAGACTCATCCTGTCAAGTAGAATCCAAAAAGCTTAATGAAATAGTTTAGCACAACTGGAAAGAGGAGTTGAGGCCATACTCTTAAGTGAAATAAATAGGACACACACGTGTAAATACCGAATAGTTTCTCTGGTGTGAGAAACTGAGAGTGTCAATAAGGATAAAAATCTATAATTGATAATGTGAAATAGGAAGAAAAGGTCCAAAGGGGAAGGAGAAATGGGAGGAGTAGGGGAAAGGAAAGAAGGGAAAGGGATAAATACTAGAAAAGGAAAAAACAGAAACAAACTCATTATGAATAGGGAGGGGTGGAGGGGATGAAGGGACGGCAGGGAAATGGGGAAAAAATAAGCAGCAAGATACGTCATGTAGATGTACAAATTCCCAGTGATGAATGTCATCATATTGTATATCTAAAATGTACCAATAAACTTAATTAATAAAAGTCTAAGTTTCCCCCTCATTTCCATCCTTCAAGTCGCCACATCACCTCCTTTCTAAAATACAGATCTGATCATGTTGGTTTCCTATTGCAATAGATATTGAGATTCTACCATACCTAGAGAATGAAGTCAGAATTATTTGGCAATACCTGCATATGTTCAGTACATAGCCTGCATTTTAACCTCTGTTTAGCACAGTTAATATGTAGTATATTTGCATTACATCCAATCATTTACAATATGCTAGATATATCTATCTGTTGTATCTCAGACCTTTGTATATAACATTTTTGGTTTTGTTATTTTTCTTTTTAACTTAGAATCTCCTTCCCCTTGGGGAATTATTACTCATCATTCTAAATTCACTTGGAATGCCCCTTCCTTGGCAAAGATTTATCTGACTTCATTGTTCTTTGATGGAAAGTTTTCTTCTGCATCTTGTATGTATCTTTGTTATAGCTAGTGAATTAAGTTTGTCTAGTCTTAGTGATCCTGTCTGTAAAATGCAAAGGGGACCAGAATGATCTCTAAAGTCACCTCTAGCTTTATTGTTCTTTAGTAGCAGCTACTCCTGAGGAAAGACACTCAGGGGCTGTTTAAAGCAATAGTCCCTCCTAGACGGGAAACTGGCGAATAGTAATCAGGTTTCAGTGGACACTGCTTCTCTCTGAATTAAATTCTCAGCTTCTGTGATCATGCAAAATTACTGTACATATTTTTTCCATTTTGCTGTCTGCTTTTAATGCATTTTTTAGTTGATTTTACCAGTTTTATTTTAAATTTTGTGTTCTATCTATGAATTTTTAATTATGTTTTCAATTCTATTTTTTTCTACTTTTCTGGGTTTGCTATCTATCATGTTTTAATTGGTGATAAAATCTTTGGATTGTAAAAATTCATATTTATATTTTTCTAGTATGCAAATGGTTTCTCTTTACATGGATTACATCTTAATATCTAAACATATTTTTGTTTAACCAATAAAGTAGGAATCATGTAATGTCTTTGAATGGCTAGCTAGCCCTCTCCACATTATTTATTGAATACCCAATTCATCCTTCAAATATTTTAGGTAGGTAACAGTTATAATGTGATAATTTCATATAGAGAAGTTTACACACACACACACACACACACACACATACATATTTTTTAAATTCACTGGCTTGAGCTTGGCTTGGTGGCACATGGCTGTGAACCCAACAAAGGATGGATAAGGGTGAAAGGTCACAAGTTGAAGGCCAGCCAGGGCTACAGAGCAGGATCCTTTCTCAGAAAACCACAAAAGAAAATAAAACAAATCATGGACCTACTTATTCTTGTGTTAATAGAAATTCCTTTAAGTTTTTTTCTTGTGTAATCATGTTTTGGTTCTGGTAGAACATACCATTCTTGGACTACATTTGTACTCTCTTTAAAGTTATATAGTACAAACTCTCTGGTTTAGATGCCAAAAAAGTGAATTTCCATTTTTCCTAAAATACATTTTCAAAGGCATATATTTTTCCATTAAGTTTATTTTAGATATATAATGCTGTTGCATTCATCATTAGGATCATGTACCTTTGCATGATATATCTCGGTTCTTATTTTTACCCATTCTCCTGTCTTCTACCCCCTCCATCCTTGCCTATTTATAAAGAATTTGATTCCATATTTTCCCTTTTCTCTTATTTTTTTCTTTTCCCTTCTTTCCTTTCCCCTACACCTCCTACTTCCCCTACTCCTTTAGACCTTTTCTTCCTATTTCACAATATCAATTATATATTTTTTAACTTAATTCTGCAGGTTTATGTTCTGCTCTGTTTTGTGTATACATGTGACCTTTTTATAATGTTTGGAAACAACTTGTATATTTATCTAATTTAATTATAATAAAGTGATATGTATCATAAATTTGTTTTCTTGCTTTTTCACATATGAAGGCATTGATATTTGGGTTAATTGAGTAACTTGCATATAGATCTGGTAAATGATGGACCTCACAGCATATGGAGGCCATTTTGCTTCCAAAGCCAGAGTTCCTTGAAAAGATTTGATTATGTGCTTTCAATTAACCTGATCTGGAATTCTTACAACCAAATTAATCGATTGATTCTGCCTGAGATAGCAAAGTGCCTTTTTTAATGAATTAAGACCAGGGGGAGGAAGGCCCACATTAGAATGAGTTTGTCTTCATTTAAGATTCCATTTAAACTAGTGTATTTAGGCTGCAGTCAGTTAAGCCAGCTGGGTTCCTTTGCTGATGGGTGCCCAGTGTGTAGTGCATGCCAGCAGCAGCCTCCTCAGTAGAGTACTCACTTGTTACTTGTAGGGCCAGCCAAAGGGAACTTGGGAACCCTGCAGCCAGAGGACCTCTTTCCATCCAGATCTAGGCTCCAGGCTGGTATGCGAGACGCCTTCAGGAAGCCCCAGGGCACAGTGGGGAGGGTTCACATTGAACAAGTCATCATGTCCATGTGCAAAAAGCTGCAGAACAAAAAAAGATGTGACTGAGGCCCCACATAGGGCCAAGTTCAAGTTCCCTGGCTGCCAAGAGAGTCACATCTCTTTTTTTTTTTTTCCTGTATTTTTTTTCTTCTTTTTTTTGTTTGTTTTTTGACACAGGGTCTCACTATGTAGTTGAGACTGAACTGGAACTCACTACGTAGCCCAGGCTGGTATTAAACTTACAGCAATCCTCCTGCCTCAGCCTTCCAAGTGCTAGACTTGCAGGCATGTGCCACCAACACCTGGCAAGAGTCACATCTCTAAGTGGGGTTTCACCAGGATCAGTGCAGATGATTTGTACACATTGTGGCTGAAAAGCACCTTGTCCTTAATGGCTACAGGTTGAAATACACCCCAAATAAGGGTACCCCTGGACAAGTGGTGGGCCTTACAGTCCTGAAAGCTTCCACTCTGCCGCCCTCCCCATAACAAGTTCATCAATAAATCTTATTTCTACTCCCCTAAAAATCTAGTGGATTTAGTCTCATTTTTAAAATTTATTAACGTGTAAATGTAGATTTTCAGAGACGCAGTCATTTATATGTCTTATTCAGTTAACATACATGTAGGAAAATTGTCTTAACCCTTTGATGCCTAGGGATCCATTTTTGGAATGCTCATAAAATGAAACATAATGAAATGTTTTCTCTTTAAATTTTTGTTCCTTGAATGTTTCTAGGTGACATATATGAAGTTTGCACAAAACAATTTTTAAAAATCAATCTTTGGCATAAATACTTTTCACATAAAGTGAAAGTTTGTCATATGAAAGCACATGGGATCGATTCTGATTACTATGCATGATGAGCATATCTAACACCAAGAATGCTAATTCACAATTTTGACAGAGGAAAAGGACATAAAGGAAGCTTAATCTGAGACGTGTTCAGGCCCTGTTTTGCAGGCTGCCCTTGTAGTTCTCACCCAGACCCACGGAGTGAATACTCACAGCATTGCTTCCATAGCGAGTCACCTCGATGAATGTCAGGGTGGTTACTGAAGTGGGTGTTGAAGAGTAATGAATATTGACAAGCACCAAAACCTAGCTGAATGAAGACACCGTTCCTGCCCCATGAGTTCTCCATTCATTCACAGATGCGGAGCAACTCTACAGTTAATTTTCAGTGGCTGTCCCAAGAGTATCTGTTCAAAAATATTAACCAGCAATTTTATCTTCATTCAGAGGCAAGAGCGTCTCTTCCCTCCAGCCAGTTAATGCTATTGTCTGGCAGCCACTTTCTTCCAGGTAGTGTGTGGGGCCTCTGCTCCCTTCTCATTAAGCCCCCACAGCATGCAAAATATAGCAGGCTCTAATCCAGAGCAAATACTTGAGATGAAGGAAAGAAAAGTAGGAACACAAATATTTTTTTCCCTAAAAACAACCCAGCATCTGCCAGCAGAAGCAACTTTATCCTGAGTGCTTCATGTATTGCCAATCCCAGGCTCAACTCCAGTGGAAACTTGTATGCCAGGGATGCTTCCAGCTTCTTAGTTATCCAGTCCTATGAGCTGCTGTTTTGTTTGTGGCTCATTGAGTTTAATTTGTTACTCATAAGACATCCACTGCCTCCCAGGTTGTCTTGGGAAAAGAATTTAAATGGCCCTAGGCCCCTTCTTTCTCTCCTGTATGGTCCATATCTGGTCCAGATTAAATATTCCTATATCCTTTTCCAGACCCAGAGAGAAGGTGGGCTGTTCATACCGCAAAAGCATTTAGCTTTTTCACACTTCCAGATTTCTTGGGTGGGCATTATACTACAAATTTCTTTTCCCTCCACCTATATAGGTCTTATCATAAATTCTCTACATAGCACAATGAGAACCTCCATCTCTGGATTTGAGATGAGGGCAAGTGAATAGCCATGTCCCCATCAGGGAAGGGAAGGAGAGGAGTGAAATTACTGTACAGTTCTCTCTGGACATCTTGGTCTCAAAATCCTGATTTTTCTCTCAGCTTCCCACCATTGACCTATATTGGAGAACAACTTTCAATTGTAATTCCCAGACTGTTCATTGAGAACACAGAGTATACATCAGTCCAATAATGGTGAGAAAGATTTATCCACAGAGGAGCAGAGTCTGCTAGATGAAGAAACAGACCTGGGACGTGTCATGGAAAGTGTGCAGGGCTAACTTTGTAAGAAAGAATACAGGAAATTGGCTGAGGTGAAAAAGGCTCTGATGAGAGTGATCCCTGTGAGTTGCTTTAAGGTTTTTGTTTATAATACAACAGTAATGGTCTAAAATCTAATGGATTATTTTAATGGAAAATTACACAACTACATAGGTTTTTAAAAATTACTATAGCTTCAGAATGGAGAAATGGTGTTAAAGGAATAAGGTAGGAGGCAGCAAGCGGGGAGGAGTGGCTAGTGCAAAATACACTTGTGGCCTGGATGGGGAATCGGCATTAGCCATGAGAAAGAATGCTCCTTTTAATAGATTGTCACAGCCAGATGTGAGCGAGACTGTTCAAATTGAGCCAGTGGGAGGAATTAGTCTTATTGCTGGCCTGGCTTCTTAGTTGGAAAAATAGGTGGGTGATTTTATCCCTTACTAAAATAGACATTTTAGAAAGCTAATGAATTTGAAGAAGGGAATGATTTCTACAGTTTTTAAAAAGCAAAATTTGAAGTAAGTTTTAACCCTTCACTTTAATCCACCTAGGTGTATTTCTTCCTTTCTTATGATGATGTGGGTATTGAACCCGGACTAGGCCAGTGGCGGCAAACCTATGGCATGAGTAATACAGCAGGCTCTTCGTGTCATGAATACTTGGGTATTGTGTTTTCCTTTTAATGTGTGCAATGTTTTTTTAAAACCTAAAACCTCAGTGATCGGGTTTAATTGAAGTATTGTCACTTTAAAATAAATAAGTGGATTTGTGGTTGCAGTTTGGGCAACCTTAACTGGGCTGTAAAAATTTCACCAACATTGCGTAGCAATTTGGCAGACATCCTAGTGTATATCGCTGACCAAGCTGTATCTCCAGCTACTTCATTTTACGTATAAGAAAATGACAACTACAAATTTGATGTGAAAGGTAGATTCTGAACCTAAGTCTGACTCTCTGTCCAAATTATTCTTGCTTTTTACTCAATGCAATATACTATAGTATTCCAATACCATAGTGTTTGACTAATTTTTAATAATTAATAAACATAAACAGTTTGTAAATGGGGAGGGGAGAAGGGGGTGAAGGGAGGGCAGGGACAAGGGGAAAAAATGAGAACCAAGAACTGTCATGTGAAGGTACAGGATCCCAGTAATGAATGTAACTGTATTGTAGACCTAGATTGTACCAATAAACTCAATAAAAAGAAAAAAAAACCCATAACAATGATATCATGATTAAATGACAATAAGTAACTATATTTTAAATGCTGATAAAATTCAGATTACTGTAAAATTTAATCTTGCAAATAAAAAGAAATGATGGTAAATGAGAAAAAAATCCACCAGGAAAGGAACAGTGGAGAAATAAGAAATTAAGCTCATTATAGCTTAAAATAATGTTCTTTTAAAATGTGTTCTTTAAGTTCCATGAGTATAATGTGTTACTAAACCCCTGTGTTTCCATGATTACTGAAGAAAAGTATTTTCCTTACTCATAAAGAAATTCAGTAACTTTCTAATTTGAGCTACTGTGAGAAATGATCTCATGGATAAGACCAAGGAAGCATCAATTTTTAGTATATTATGGACATTTTTGAAAATTATCCTTTAGATGTGTATTTGAGAGCTTTAAAAAATAAAAGTTGTCATGAATACTGTATGACTTCATCCTACTTTTAAAAACCTCTCAGCTTGAAAACCATTTGTCCACATACTTCACTTTTAACCCATGCATTGAAAGCTATTTTATATATTTTTATACTTGAAGCAGTTAAAAAGGTTACTTAAAGAATAATTTAAGGAATTTGCTTTTAAATATTTAAATTAAATTACTTTTTTGTCAATATGAAATTAAAGCAGAAGCACTAGCCCCAAACACAATAGAAATATTACTTTTCACATCACTGGAGATCTCCCCTTTAATTTCTGGACAGAAGGTGTAGGAATTCTTTATAAATGTGTCTGCAGGTTTGGGAGAAGGTTGGCAAAGAGTGATCATTCAACTCCTTATGGAAGTGTCTTTGTTCTCTTAAAGACAGATTGCTGTTCCAGATACAGTCATTTTTTGCTACAATGGAGCTTCTGTTCACATTTTCTGATGGTCTGTTATGGAAGTGTGCAGATATACCTTCTCTAGTTGTTAGTAAGGTCAAAATTATCTGAAAGTGGTTGGGTAGTGATGGTAGTAGTTATTTTTGACTACCTTATTTCAGTATCTCATGTTTAATGAAATGGAAAAATTAGAAGTTTCTTAATTATCAATGAGTACAAGAAAAAAATAAATTAAAAATAAATGAGAAAGATACAGTATTCCTAATCATGTTAATCATAAGTGCATTTACTTTCCATACTAACCCAGATAATTAAGACAGCAGACTATAATTTCACAATAAAACCAGGTGGGGTTAGTTCTCCTCAGTTATTTACTGCAGAAATAATGTTATCAGAGCAGCATTAATGTCATTTTGCCTATTCTGTGTTTATATTGCAAATTATATTGTGCCCAGTACTATAAAAGAAGACCAATAATTCCTAAGAAAAAGGAGAGGGAAGGAATGGCATCGAATCAGGAGGACCATTGCATCCGGACAGGGAGGTAACAGAACATTCCATCGCTTCAGCACTTCTGTGTCTGCAAATGTGCAGAGAAATGAAATTTTTCTCATTTACAAAGAAAGATGAAATAATAAAGTGATTGCCTTAGACATGTATACTCTGAGGTGTGTATCACAAGATGTG